ACTTTATGGTGCTGTCCATGGTCCTTAATCATGGACACATTGGCCCTGAAGTGACACTGTCCTACACTGAACGGACATGGGAGCCGCCAGCTTCCAGTGCATATATGGAGCAAAATATGTGGCAATGCTAGTGAGCCAGCCATTGAGAATGTCAGGCTTGAAACTCACAGGAGTGGACAACTTGTGGCTCTCCAGAAGTTTTGGCCTACATCTCCCATCATCTGTTGCAATTGGCTATGCTAGCAAGGGCTAATGGGAATTGTAAATCAGAACATCTGGCAGTCCATCAATTGTAAATCAGAATGGCTTGATAGCGTCTGTCTGAGTGTCAGTCAATGCGGACGTCATATGCAGAGTGTGGTGAGGTCATGCCACCATGTCATCCACAGTTTTTGGCCACCTGAGGATATCGCTAAGAGCAAACAGTCAAATCACTTCCTTCCTTACACTGCCCTCTTTGTGACAGTGCATTTTTATGCTCTTTTGTGAAGGGGAAAAAAACCCTCTACATAAACATCATCATGAAAAACACAAATGAACCCTATTTCCAGCTCAGGCCTAATTTTAGGTACTGCTTTCTGATGAAGTCATCATATTATGCACAGCACTGTGATATTAATTCATTTAGGATTGGGTAGGTTTGCCCATCTGATTAATTCAGAGATGAGCAAGCATCACCAATCATCAGGGGGAAAGAGGTCTTGATTGAAAATAGGACAATATTTGCATAACATCAGTGTTTTGGGGTGGAAATGCCCACATCAGTGAAATTTTGATGCTAACACTAAAGCCGAGGAACTTGCAGTGCAACTCTAAGGCAAGCCACTGCAATCAGAACAGGCAGGTCTTTGCGCCCGCTGTCAACCACTCTTCTTGAACCCATTCTCCAGAGGAAGGGTAGTCTGGACCTTGGGATCTCAACCACTGCGGAAACAGATCCACATTTACTCACGAAAGCCATAGCCAAGGAACTATATGAGCATTGTTCCCATCCTCTAGCACTGATGCATGTACCTGGCCAAAATCACATCCTCATGGACTATGAGAGCTTCTTGGTGAAAAGAATTCTTTCATCATGCCTATTTTGCAAAGAATGCTTCTGCACACAAAGAGGCAACTGAAGCCTATGGCACGACTGGGCTACAAAAATGCCCTCAGAATCCAGAAGACACAAAAATAGCTTCTGTCCATGGTAAGCTTCATTCCTTTGCAGAATAAATTGCACTGGGAAATAGCAGCCAATAACATTGTTGGATAATCCATTCTGATTACTTCACATTTTTGCTAGATATTGTAACTTCCAGATCTTTCAATCTTACAAACTTGACCATTGGAGTGCTTAGAGGTTTTTAATTTAATCATGCAATGAATTTTGGGTCCCTAATAAGGTACTTTACTTTAGTGCAATCAAAATGAAATACAATCACCAATGCATCCCACAAATGGAAATTCTTGACTTTTTTCTTAAGGTGGTCTAATTATTCTTTGATTCATCTTTCTTTGGATGGAACATTTAATCGAAGTTATTTTTAGCGCTGCTTATATGGCACTGAGGTCGAAATAAAATGTTACATTTCCTCCAAGGGACAATCTGTTTAAAACCATTTCTCAAGCACAGTGACTATCAGTAGCACTGTCAAAACCTCATTATTACTAACTTCATGTTTTGAATTTTATTCAGCACCTTTTCAGACATTGGCCACATGAAGCCTCTGCTGGACCAAATGATTCTTTTCAGTATTTATAGGAGGACTTGAATAGTAATTAGGCAGAGCCGGGGCAGGATAAGAATGCAGACAGGCAGGCAAGAACAATGCTGGCTGAGTGTCAAGCCAGAGGGAAGAATATCTCCATGCGCCAGTGAATGAACCGAAAGGACAAGACAGGAATGACAGCTTAAAAACCCCATTCAGACACTCAGACAGGAACTGGGAGATCAGTATATCTAGCTGGAGAAAATCTGGATGTGATGTGAGTAAAGCAGGTATGGAAGAGGATGAGAGCGAGAAAAAGAAAGAGAAAGCGAGAAAGAGGTTTTTGTGAGGCCTAAGGCAGGTAAAATGATTAGCCTGAAAGCTGTTGAAAAGAAAAGAAAAGCAGATACATTGTGAACCATTAGGGAAGAAGAAGGCAGTCAAGCCAATGAGTAACAGCCTAGCAGTTCAGAAGGCTGGATTTACCACTAAGCATCTTGTCATTCAGGCTTTGTTGTCATTGTTATGTGCCATCAAGTTGTCTCTCTCTTATGGCAACCCTGTGAATGAAAGCCCTCCAAAATGGCCTATCTTGACAGCCCTGCTCACCTCCTCCAAATTCCAGTCTGTGGCTTCCCTGGTGGAGTCAATCTGTCTCATATTTGGTCTTCTTTTATTTCTTCTGTCTTTGATGTTCCCCCACATGATTGTCTTCTTCAGGGAGTTTTGCCTTCGATCAGGATCCAAGGCAGCTTCAGAACGCCATCTGTTGGCTGAACACTGGTATAACAGACCTGGTAGATGCAGGATCACTCCCACAAGGAGCTGCTGCTGCTGCCAAGGCCCTCATGAACACCTCCTGGGAGCCCTGAAGGAAGAAGTGTATAAGAACTGATTCTTCCCTCCAGAAGCTGCCTTGGTAATGAGCATTTCTTGACTTGCTAAGGTGCTTCTTGCTTGTGGCTGCCTGAACTTCTGGACCCTGCTCTTGATCCAGCTCCTGTTCTTGCTTTGCCCTGTTTCCTGACCCTGTTCCAGTCCTGCTCCTGTTTGTGTTGCTTCCTTGGTTTCTGACCCTAGGCCTGCTTGACTATGCTTTGGCCTATTGGAATAAACTTGCCTTGTTCCTCTGTCTACTCCTGCCGCTGACTTTGGACTGTTGGAGAAAGACTTGGATTTGGCTGCAATTGGAGCTTGGATGTTAGCCTAGTTGTCTGGGTTCGGGTGCCCATATTGGTGAGTCATCCACCCACATCCCAGATGCTGATAACTTCTCATGATGTGCCCGAAGTACAACGGCCTCATGCAAGCTACAACTTCTGAAATGTCTTTCTGCTACACAATGATTACAGGTGGAAAGGAGATAGGCCACCTTAAAAGGAAAGCTGCATGAATGGGGAAACTGGCAGAATAAGCAATCCTAGTGTTCTAGACAGCATCTAGAAAGCCATAGGATTTTTCAGATTCCAAAATCCTCAGTAGGAAAAGGTCTCTGATCTTGGAATTGGGAGCTGGCACTTTGATCTCCCTGCCTCAATGGGAAGAACTGCATTGGCTGCTCTAAGGTCAGAAAATTGACCTGGGGGAAGGTATCTAGGCGTTGGGGAGAGGGAGGGGAAGAGGCCAACATCACCAAGTTATGAGGTATCTCAGAATCACCTCACCCTCCTTCCTTCCTGCTCCAATGAGCAGGAGGAGAGCAGTGGTTAGCTTTGTCTCTATTCTTCTTCCACTATATGTACCAGAAAGGGGAAGGGGAAGGGGAGACAGGCAGTGGGACCACTTAAAAGGGAGGGAGGGGACCTGGTAACTGATGTAAGGGAGCAGGCACAGATATTAAATGATTATTTTGCCTCTGTGTTTTCCACCCAGCGGGTAGGGGGAGACCTACCTAGTGGGGGGACTAGATGAGGTTGGGGTTATGGAAGCACAGATTGGAGTCATCTCCCTAGAAGTCGAGCAGCAACTCAGGGCCCTCAATGTTACAAAGGTGCCAGGCCTTGATGGGCTACACTCAAGGGTACTTTGGGAATTGTCAGGGTACTCTCATATCTTCGGCAAGGCTTCGGCAAGGGGCGGCATAGAAATGTTATAATAATAATAATAATAATAATAATAATAATAATAATAATAATAATAATATCTGTTGGCCTTAATTTTTGAGACCTTGTGGAAAACAGGAGAAGTTCCAGAGGACTGGAGGGTGATGGAAGTAATTCCAATCTTCAACTGGAGGGGATATGGGGAACTAAAGGTCACTTAGCCTTACATCCATGATACGAATGATGGAATGGTTCATAATAGGGAAAGCTGTGGAAACCCTACATAGGGATGGGAGGTTGGCAGCCATGCAGCACAGATTCTGTACAAACAGATCCTGCCAGATGAACTTTGTGGAATAAGTTCTCAAGGTGGCTAGATGGAGGGGATGCAGTGGATGTGGTTTCCCTGGATTTCATCATGGCCTGTGACAGCGTCCTATGCTATCCTCATTGAGAAATAGCTTTGCTTTGAGATAGATTGATGCACTGTCCAATGGATTAGGTTGATGGACTGCAAGCAGAGGGTGACTGTCAGTGAGGAATCATCGGGATGGCAGCCGGTGATGAACAGAGTTCCCCAGGGCTCAGTTCTGGGACCGATTCTGTTCAACCTCTTTATCAATGACCTGAAGGAGGGGATAACCAGTCTGCTGACAAAATTTATGAAAAACACCAAAGTGAGGGCAGTGGCTGCAATTGAAGAGCAGGACATCCTGATCCAGAAGGATCTGGACAGGCTGTGGAAGTGGTTGGGGGACAACAAGATGACATTCAATGTGGATAAGTGCAAAGTCTTGCACTTGGGACACAGGAATAGGTGTCAGAGGTGCAAGATGGGGAGCAAATGGCTGGAGAGCAGCACTTCTGAAAGGAATCTCGGAGTATTTGTTGAGAGCAGGCTGAACATGAGCCAGCCGTGTGATGCACCAGTTAAGAAGGCAAACGCCACCCTTGGATGCATAGCCAGACGTGTGACTTCCAGATCTAGTGAGGTGTTGATCCTGCGCTACAGTACTCTGGTGTGCCCACAACTGGAGTACTGAATCCAATTCTGGGGCTCCACATTATAGGAGAAACACAGCTAGGTTAGAATCAGTTCAGCACAGGGTTGCAAGAATGGTAGCTGGGTTGGGAGGGATGACATATGAGGAGAGATTGAGGGAACTGGGTCTTTTCAGCCTGGAGAAGAGGAGACTCTGAGGGGATCTTTTAGTGACTTCTAGGCATGTGACAGGATGTGATGTGGAGGAGGGCTGTGACCTGCTCTTCCCTGCAGTGGAGGGCAGGACACATTCCAATGGGGCAAAGCTCAAGGAACTGCGTTTTAGGTTGAATGTCAGGAAGCACTTATTGATGATTAGGACCCCTAGGATATGGAATGGGGGTTACATGAGTGCAGCCAGCTGGAGCTGGGGTCAGACTAGATGGCAAGGAGGCCTCTTCAGACTCTTTGTTCCTATGTTTCTAAGATGCCTGCAATCACCCCAGTTCAGATGGCCTTGGGAATCTCCAGTAGACTGCCTGCTGCACAGATCATGTGACTGCTGTGCTGCACCCTATGCCGGTAGCGCGACATTCTCTTTTTGAGATGAAGGGAAGGATTTATTGTGATGAAAAATACTATCCTCTGTTTTTGTACTTGCACGACAGGATCAGTATTGTGAAAAGTTTATTGGATTTGAGGAGCCTGGATGTCTGCTCAGAAAGCCAAAGGTTGCAGTCAGCTCTAGTCAAAAGTTTAGTTAGATATGGAGCCAATATTTCTGCAGAAGCAAAGTAGAAACTAAGTCTGAAGAAGCTCAAATGAAGGTCAGAGGAGGAGCGCAGAAAAAAGAACTTAGGGTAAAGGTGAACAAGAAACTGTTCCCAGTTTCCTGATTGGTAGTACATGGAGAAATAGTTACTTCTAAGATAAAAAGAATAAGCCAGTGATGGGAATGCAGAGAGGAGAAGGCAGCCAGCCAGCCTCCTAGAAGGGAGAAAGTCAGAGCTGTGGGATTTGGAGAACTGGTTGAGAGAGGGTTTGGCCTGTGATAATAAGATGCTACTTGGCTAAAACAGAGACCTCGTTTAGATTGGTTGGCTGAATGTCTTTATCCCTGGTTATTTTATTACTCTGTTGCACACATGGTTTTCTCTGTGGGATGCATATATATACATTCAGATTTTCACACTGTTTCCCGCTCCTGCTGAAGTTGCTTGCTGAAGACCTCATAGTAAGTTAACGCCTGGAGTGAGAATCGAATTGAGGTCTTCCCAGACACAAAAATGCATCAGTTCCTTGTGCAACATCAATGTCACTAAACAGTATTGTGAAAAGGAATGTGCAGGACTCTTTTGGGGAATTTGCATGGCTATATTAAAGCTAATCCTGTCTGTAAGTCTTTGACTCTTTGGTACAAGTAGACACTTCTGAAATCACATTGAAATTCCACTGTGAGTGAACTCTGTAGCAACTTAAGGATATGCAAACCTTTGGAAAATGCTGCTGGACTTATCAAAAGCTCTTTGGCCCCTTGAAATTATTTGAATGTTTTGCCCAGGAAAAAGCTAAGGGCCAACCTGCAGAGTTTGGCTAGATTCACACAACAAGACAAGCAACCCAGTGTGGTTTCCCACAGCACATACTTTTTTGTCTGGATGTACATGACAGACAAGGAAGTGGTTCCTAAGCTAGTGTGGTTTCCACCCTCCTCACTCAGTCTTCCCACTGTTGGCTTGTATCCCATCAGCCACCATGCCTGAAATTCAATCCCATGATGGATGGCTGAGGGCACTCCTGCAGCAGCTGCCACCCTTTCCAAGGGATTCTGTGGTGGCACCATGGTAACCACAATGGCGAGTTCAGACAATCAGAGAAACCATGGTGAAGCACGGCAACCATAGAACAGACCATTTTTTCTTACAGTTTCCAAACACCAAATGCACTATGCTGAGATACCACAAAAGGGATTACATGACAAATCATTCTGTGCAAGAAGCCACCATGCTTGGTTTATGAACCTGCTCACTGCCTTTCGCACACTTAAAAAAACATGCTGGAACTGGCCAGTTTCAGTTGAAGGAAAAGCAGTGTTGGGGCTTCAAGCATAAACATGTTCTCAGCCTGGACTGGAGACCGGTGACACTTTCCTCTTGAAAAGAGCCCCTGCTGGCTGCTTTTTACCTCCAGGAAACCATGCCTTCCGGGCAAAATAGGTGCATCTCTTTGTGGTGTTCATCACCCTGATCCAGATAGTGAGAAGGTCCTGCATTTTCTTGTCAAAATTGCCAGTTTGCAAATGCATTTTTTCTTTTTAAATATGTCTACTAAAACATTGGTTTGACCCTAAATTTCCCCAAGACATTTGCTTTTGGCAAATGTGATGGCAATGTCTGTACAAATATTTAAAATGAAAGGATCCAGATTGGATCCAGATTTAAACTTAATTAGAGTAAACCCACTGATGTCAATGGAACCTTGTCATACGGAAGAGTGGACCAATTTATTTGCAGGGGTCTACTCAGAATATGACTAAGTCTGGGTCCAGTGTGGACTATGTAGAGAATTTTGGTATCTGGTCTGTAACACACGGCATGGTGAGCATAGCCCTCTGTATTCAGTGCACCAATTTGGCTTATTACCATGGGCCCCTTTCCCATCCTTTAGTGGCCTGCATTCAGCCTCTCTTTGTCACATGGCACAATGAATGATGAGTCTGCCCATGCCATGTTTTTGTATTCCTAAAGGTCTCTTTCATTTAAAGCTGTCCTTTCGCTTTGTCCTTGGAGATGGGCAAAATCAAAAAACCTCAGATGAATAACCAGAGACAATTGTGCTGTGCACCTTCTAAGAATGCCATTCTTCTGTTCAAAGTCCCCTTAATCTTTACAGAACTTCATGCTTTGATCCACTGTGTTATCTTAAGAAAGGTGGTGCCCACCTGGAATTGCTAACATCCTGGACAAATACTTTGATATTCCAGTGTTTTGTTTTGGTGTGAAGCTTCGTGTAATTACATATCATATAATATATTATAATTATTATAATTAGTGCTGTGTTGTGTTACATACATTGGCTTCCCAGGAGTTCTTGTTTGTCATTTGAATGTAAGGAGCTGTAGTAGCCGACTCTTGTTATTGAAGGTTTCAAGACCTTGCAACTGTTTCATAAGTAGGCACATCTGAACTAAGGGTCCTCCTGTAATTGTGGTCGCATCTACTTTGAACTTTAAAGGAAAGCATCAGGATATTGAGCTGGGTTCACAAACACACTGGTAGCTAGGATCGCAATGAAGCTCCATGGAATCGGTCCCTCCAGTGCTCATGGACTCCCCTTTGGGCTTGGCCAGTCTTAGGAAGTCAGCCGAACTGAGAGGACCTCTGCAAATTCTTACGTAATGGAGGTTGTGCTACTGGCAGTTCCACATCGAGTGTAGCAACCCAAGCTAAGGCTGTTGCACGTGATGCAGAAGAGGAATGCTGCTTGCTAGCAGCCACTCAGGGCTCCAGTTCTGGAAACTGCCTGCAAACAGTGAGCACACACACACCAGGAACTTGGACTCACCGCTGCAGAAAAGAGGGCTGGAGCCCAGAGATTCAGGATTCCTACCCCCAAAACAGATTCCTCACACATCCCTATTAATAGCCAATTAAGAAGGCTCTCAATGAAGTCAACAAAGTTTGCATAATAGTTAGGAGTCTGGCTACTGTATGTCGGACCAACTGCAATTTCTGAGCCTGCCTGCCTCCCCCCCCCTCTCTCTCTCTCTCTCTCTGGGCAGCCCCATGTAGAGATCATTACGGTAGTCCAAGGTTGGGCAACTCCTGCCTCTCCAGATGTTTTAGCCTACCACTCTTTCCACCCTTCATCATTGGCTTTGCTGGCCAGGGAACTTGCCTATTATTTTTATTATTATTACATTTCATTTATATTCCACCTTGTGAGAAACCCAAGGTGGCTTTCATAGTCCTGTTCCATTCCATTTTTTTCTCACAAGAAAAACAGGGTGAGGTGGGTAAGGCTGAGAGTGCATGTCCAGCCCAAAGTCCCCCAGTGAGCTTCATGGCCAGGCAGGGGGTAGAAGCTGGACCTCCCAGATCCTGGTCCAGCGCTCCACCTCATTTTTAAACCCCTCATGGATGGCTTTGGGAGGAGATGGTTGGAGGAGGGCTTATCTTTCCTTCCTAGAGCATGGTGGTCCCAGTTCGATTTGGAGCTTGTTCCATTTCAGTGGAGTAAGAGAAGAGCGGTGCTTCAGCTACACTTGACGTAGTTAGTGTCATGTGCAGGTTGGTTCTCAGGCTCTTCTCCAACTGAGCACAGCTGGTGTGATGTCTGGCCTTTTCATTGCTGCAGGACACGGCCTCTGGGTGATACTTTGTGGACACCTTGAAGGACTCCCTTCCGTTGGCCTTTACCCAAGGATCAATAGAAGTTGCTTGAGAGCAGGGCCTGGCAACCTTTTCAAGGGGCTGAGCTTTGCCCATGTGCGCATGCATATGAGCCCCTCTGCCATCCCCTTGCATCTCAGCACGCAGGCGGAGAAGCTTCAATCTGCCCTGCTGCAGTCAGGCGATAGGATTACTGGGGCGGGGGGGGGGGCTTAAAGGATCAGGGAACCAGCCATTTCTTTGTATTATATCAGGTCAGGAGAGCCACCAGCCTACTGGGCCACCAGGCATCATCTGTGTAGCCTCAGGTGAGGTCCCTGCACCTGTGAGGAGGAGAGAGAGAAGGGGAGGGAAGTCAGCTTGGGTTCAGCCAGTTTCTTGAGGCTCGGACTGAGCTCACTTTGTTCCACCACACCTGAATCCTCCACCCTCTACCTTCAGTAGCAGGTGCCCAAGGAAAGTGATGCTATTGCTGACGTCGCCCTAGCAATCCATTGCACAATTGCATTTCTCTGGGAAACTAGGATGCGTTTTTCCTCTGTAATTCCCATCATCAATACAGCATAGGGAAGAGCGTGGGCCAGGGTGTGGGCAGAGATGTCATGAGCAACACAGAGATCCCACTGGGATGGCATTTCTGTGGCACATCCTTCCTCCTTTTCTCCTGCAACTTACCTTGTAACATGTTTTTGTTTCTCCAACCACATTTGCTGCAGTGGTTCAGACAGACCTGGCTGGGGAAAGGCAAAACGTGAGGTCTTGACTTTTTGGGGGGCGAAGCAAGCTTAGATGGTGACACCAGAATGCCAGTCTTCTTGTCGCCCCAGGCCCTTTCTAATATGCAGCTCCATCCAGGCTGGTCCTGGCATGTAATTTGTCCATATTGCATTAGAAGGCAGCTGTTAAAGGCTACCAAAAAGGTTGCTGGAAACGGGGGCCAGGGAAGAAAAATCAGCGTACACAACAGGCAAATAATATACTTCTGGAAAGCAGACTAAAAAGGAGGAGGACGAAGAGTGTTTGGTACACGTTAAACAGAGAACAAAATCAGTTGTAAGACTGTTAGTATCCATGCCAACATAGATTGGCAAAACAGTTGGGATATACCCCCGGGGCAGCTCTTTCCTCAATTCAAAGAGGCAGTGTTGATAGAATATCTTGTCCATCACTGAGGACCAGGTTCAAAAATTACATTTTGTAGAGGGATCTTAGCGTCTACAGTACCTCTTAAATTCTATCAGGTCAGGCACAGCATGAACCGGTAGATTGATGCTTTATCCTGAAACAAGGTTGAGACTCATCATTTTGACATGTAACTGCTAGGCCCCTGAAAGCCCATGAATATAGATAAGAAAGGAGCCAGGATTCAAAGGACAGCATGGCACTTTTCCCATTCATTACCAGCCCTTCTCCAGCAATGAGGGATGAAAAGCCTCCATATCTTTTTCGTTATATAACCTTTATTAACATGTTGATTTCTTTTCCCACCTCTATGTTATTGTTACTAGTTCTGTGTCCCTGGGTGGCTAACGAAACAAAGGAGGAAATAAGGTAAGATTTGGACTTCCCTTTTCCATTTGCCCGTGTAACCCATCTGCTTTAAGTGTGTAGATAGAGATAGGTAGGTAGGTAGACAAAGGGTAGATAGATAGAGTGACCAGGAGAGAAAACAGATCAATCTAAGCAGACAGAGTTAGTCTTCCCAGTAATTTCCCACCCCAAATCTTCACACATCCTAAATAAAGATGTTGGACTGGAGCATTTGGAATTAAGTTTTCAGAAGCAATTGCAATAGAAACTTGAAGATTAAAACAAATCAGCAACTGGGACGCTATTTTTGAGAATGAGGACTTGCTGTCTCCTGACAAGGAGCCCCAAAAAGGGATTGGTTCATAGGAGAGTCTTACCTAGCCTGACCTCACCTTACCTAATGGACTATGGTAAGATCCACTTGAAGCCCAACCCATGTGGCTGCTGGCACTGGGCTGTGTTGAAGCCCTGCAGGATCCACCCCTCCATCATTCACAGACTTCCTTTGTGTTCACCTCTGTCCTGAGAAGCAACAGAGCCCAGACAAAGTCCATGGATGCTTCCTCAAGTCTGGTTGCAAAACCCACAACCTCCTTTCATGTCATGTGCAGCCTTGCGAATCAAGCGGCATGGAAGAGGGACTCAGTCCCCAGGAAACACCGTGTGAACACTGCGTGCATGTGCCAGGAACCCGGACTCATGGCTGTGTGGAAGCGGGCCAGAAACCGGGGAGCTCAGGCATGCCACTTCTGGCAATGGAGGCAGCCGCTAGCCAGCAAGACCCGTGTGCATTGGTAGCCTCCTCCTCCTCCTGCCCCCCCCCCCATGAATTTGCGCAGTTCCCTTTTACAGCCTTCCAAATTGGTGGCCACCGTGTGGCAGCAAATTACCTAGTTCAATTACACATTGTGTGAAGAAGTACCTTCTCTTTTCTGTCCTAAACTTTCCCCCAGTCAGCTTGGTGGGATGCCCCTGGGTTTTAGAGTTATGGGAGAAGAATGTCTCCTTCTCTTCTTTCTGTAAAATAAAGGGTGCTTTAACATGCTGTAAAACAAAGAATGGCTGGGCAAGATACTCACAATACTGGCATGCTTTTGTTTATGGCTGCTGCTGCCTATAACTAAGCCTTGGGGCGAGAGGGTGAACTTCGAGAAAGTTAGGAAATCAGAAAAGTATCAGCTATTGGAGGGAGAGGACGGGGCTTTCTGGGAACTGCTGCAACCTGGATTAAGGCCCCCAGGAGGCTAGATTTGGCCCCGGGCTTGTGGGTCCTTGTCCCATACTATACCGTGTTGGCTGAGAGTGTAAATCACCATTATTCTTGTCATGTCACATTTATGCCTGCCTTTCTTCCCCTTGCAAAGAACTCAAAGCTGCTTATACAATTTTTCCTCTGATCCATTTTATCTGTGAAATAACAACCCTGTGAGGTAGGCTAGGGTAGAAGTCTGAGACTGCTCCAAAGTCACCCAGTGGATTTCTGGGGTCAGGGACTAGAGCCCGGATCCCATGGATCCCCTATCAAGCACTGTGAACACCTTGGCACATTGGCTGCGGCTCAGATCTTCCTTCCTTCCTTCCTTCCTTCCTTCCTTCCTTCCTTCCTTCCTTCCTTCCTTCCTCTCATGTTCTCTCCTTCTGCACCAGCCATTAATAATGTAATGACAATTACTGTGCCCTAAAACCAAAATATGAGGGATGCATCCACAATTCTCAGGTGGGTCCTTCCCTAGAATTTGTAGTTCCAGCTTCTGAATTACTCGGTCTTGTTTCCAAAGTGGAATCCATGTGTTAGAAATGCAGAGTGCTATGTAAAAAGAAATGCACTTTCTATGTAAAAAGAAAGAGGATTTCCACTGCTCTTCAAAAAAACTGGATTGGTCCTGACCCCCAGGGCACTGTGTGTACACAGTTTGTCGCAGTTCTTTCCACAGTTTTGCTGCATCATTTTCTCCAGCTGCCTTTCGGCAAAGTGGCGACCGGCTAAAGGCGTGCTTCTCCAGCATCCTGACATCGGACAGTCCAGAGTCGCAGCTCCACAAACTTGGAGCCGAGGCTCCGAAGCCAGACTCCCCACTCTGCTGCTTCGCAGACAGACCAGGAGGGACCACACTGGCTGCCCCGCCCCCCCCAACAAGCTCACAGCTAGGCCTCGGAGGAATAAAAAGCGGCCTGCCAGGGATTAGGGAGCAGCGCAGGCTGGGGCCACAGACCTGCTAATCCCACTCAGTGTCCCAGCCGCCTGTGCTTCTCCCGCCCAGGACTGAACTGACATGCTAAAAATGGTCCTCTAGGGAAAGCGCGTTCTGCAAGGCGCTCCGGTGGCAGGAATCCCCGCGGCTGCCCCACACCAAGCCCTGCGTGCATGCAAGCTCCCGGGTGCAAGGGCTTCTGTGCATCAGCCAGGAGGTGACAGGGCTGCCCCTGAGGAATTGCCCCCTAGAACCAGCCGACTTCCCACTCCCGGGACGACATGGGCCTATCCAGTAATCTGCACTGGCATCACAAGGAAATGAGGATGATTCAAGTGCTCAGGAGGTTACATTGACCTGCTTTTTCTGGAACCCAGAACTTGGCCCAAAGAGGTTGACCTGTAGGTTAATGCACCTTGTGGCTATTCCACTTCTCTTTATCTGGGAGATTCATTTGAAGTGAATGAAACTTCAGGCACACCATGAGAAGGCGCAGCTCCCTGGAGAAGAGAGTCATGCCAGGGAAGGCAAAAGCAGAAGAAGAAAGGGAAAGCCAGTGCTAAAAAGGCTCGGTTCCATAAAGGAAGCTACAAGAAGAGCTGAGCAGGGCAGGCAAGGGCAGGCAGGGGGCCGTGCGGCTAATGGGGTGGGTTAGAAATCTAATATGTAAATAAGCAATAAACAAAATACTTTGGAGGCCATTCAAGGATTGCCATAAGTTGGAGACAGCTTGATAGCAAGTAACAACAGAAACATCATTTTCTTCTCATGGCTACTTATAGGTTCTTTAGATGGCAAGGTAACCCTCTGTTTTCATTTCTGGGTCTAATTGAAACTTCAATTAGTTTTTGGGGTTTTTTTAAGCAGTGAAAATGAGCCATTTAATTGAGAAAGTGAAAGAAATGGCAATTTCCTGTTGAGTATTCCACTATACCACAATGCTGGCTAGACATCATGGAAGAATGTGGGTTCAAATCCCCACCCAGCTATGATGCCCACTGGGTGACCTGGGCCACTCAACAACTCTTAGCCTACCTTACCTTCCGCATGGAACTCCTCAGATATAAAGTCTGCTTTGGGAAGACTGGAATGATAAGATCATACCTGAAACCACAGAGGCAGTGCAGTTACCTGTCCCCAGCTGATCCTAACTGGATCAGCCAAAACTAGAACACTGCACCAGGCAGAGAGGCAACAGGTAGCCTCAGTTCATCTAGGTAAGTTCAGACTCTGGAGTAAAGATTCTCGCAGGTTCCCCTCTTGGGATGATAATCACCACTCATTCTTATGAACTGAAGGGGTTGTAAGCTTGCCTTGCTGACGTTCATTCTTCCAGGGGCCACTGTCCCTAAATCCTGCCCTTGTGGCCCCGCACCGAGAGTAGCTTCTCTGGACCTAGAGGGACCTTTGTTCACTGGGCACGGCTCATCTGCACTTTGGACCTGTCCCAGGAGCATCAGCTGTGACTTTCTGCTCCTGGAGCAGCTTATACAATTTACCGAGGAGAAGAGTCATTCCCCAGTTGTTCCTGAAAATGCAGCTAATGAACACAAAGGATAGGATAACAAGAGGCCAGGTGTGCTTCTTGGGCAACACATGCCCCGACTTGGCTAAGCCTGGGAGCACGCTGCAGATGGATGCATGCTCTGACATGCTCAAATGGGCATTGCCTGCCCGAGAAGCACCTAGCCATATGCAAGCCTGTAGAAAAGGCCATTTCAAAGAGATAATAATATAGAAATGGTGCTTTGCCAAGCCTGACGGTTCCTGTGTATCGTTACTTTGTGCCATTACAGAAGATGCGGTGGGCATTTCTGGATGGTTCCTCCATCAATAAACCCACCTTTTTGGACTCTGTAATCATTCTGACCTGCAGAGCATGGAAAGCTACATGTGGGAAGCGGTAATCGTCTCTGAAATATGTTTTATTATGTCCGCTGCATGTTTCAGGCCAGCTTTCATTAACCTGCTGCCACCCAAGTGGCATGCGTTGAATGACAAACCACATCATCCCCAGCCAGTTTGGCCCTTGCTGCTTGGGGATGGTGGGAATCATAGTCCAGCTCATCTGGAGGGCACCAGGCTGTAGAAGGCTGTTCTAGGCTTTCCTCCAAGATCTCCCCGCATCCCTTGCTCTTTATGGATGTCATCTGCCAGGAAATGACTTCCCCAGGCAAGTGGCTTATTCAATGACTGCTGTTTTGCGCATAGATTAAAGGGAATGATTGCCTCCTTTTCTTCTTGTGATTGAAATCAAAGCCTTTCCATATTAGCATATGGAAAGGTTACCCTATCAATGAATCCCGGTCAATGTTCAATAGTTTTCTTTACAGGGTTACCACGCTTATGTGGGCCATTCTCATTTGCCCTTTTGGTGGGTGGGATGAAGAAAACTAGCTCAGGTTTAGGGGAGTGTGAGGGGTCCAGTGTGGGAGTGGGAATTGGTTGGATCTCCTCAGACTGGGTCCCCAGACTCTGGCCAAAGTCCATCTTGTGTGAAGCATTCACATGCGCAAGCAGCAGGAAGCAAGTACAAGCACAGCTGCAAGAGAGCAAGACTCTAGACAGGTCTTCGCATCCCTTTTGGAAGGATGCAAATTTAATGAATGGCTGCAGGGAGCCAAGAAGGTCCCCCTCAAAAAGGGGTCAGGGCCAGAATCATGCTCCTGCAAAATGGCAGAACTGGCTTCAATTCTCTGGGGTTTCCCAGAGTCTCCCCACCCCACAACTTCCCAGAAAAGATTTGGAGGCCAAGTGGGGAGGGGTACATGGGGAAGGAGAAGCTGTGGAAAGTCCATCCTGCAGCAGAGAGGTTCTGGAGCCATGTTTGATCCTTCCAATATCAGTTGTGAAAGGCAGGTTCTTTTTTCACCAAAACAGGATCCACAACATTTCCCCCATAGAACTGAATGGGTACCACACACTTAACATCACAATCTGCATTCACACAGAGGACAATATTGCAAAATGAAGACCCCGTTGAAGGGGGAAAGTGTGGTACTGAAATAGCATCCACCTGCAGAAGAGGGGATTGACTGACAAGCTGAAACAAGGTGAAGAACGGGGTTTTATCTTGGTACATTTATCATGTGTTTCTATAGCACCAACAGAATTCATTATGCTTTATAGAAAACAAGCCTTAGTCCCTTTCTTTACTGTAAAATCAAGTGGTGACTATTCTGTGCAACTCCAGATCAAATCATGTCTACAATTCCGACTACATCATAATGTCACTGAAGGCAATTTTAGTAGATAAACATTTGTTAAACAGAGAGGTAGCACAAAACTACTGAAGAACAGGATTTCTGATTACTTCAGTCAAAGGACCAGAGCCAGATCTAAGGTCTTGGTATATAAACTGGCTTCTTCCCACCCTCCTGCCTACAGCTTTCTCTCCAGCTCTGTAGAAATGCTACACAGAGACAGGAGACCCTGAGTAAAGGGGTGAGCTGTCACCTGGGGGAACCCTCTGCCCCCCCCCCCCAAAGGAACCCTTCAGTGGGAGGGGGACATTCACTGAGAAGAACCTGTCCTCCCATAGAAGTCAGGTTCTGGATCAGCCCAGAAATTCACAAAAAGACTTCCTCAGCTCAGCCCAAGCTTTCTTTCTTTCTTTCATTCATTCATTCATTCATTCATTCATTCATTCATTCATTCATATTGCAATTTATATCCTGCCTTTTTCCTACAAAGGGCTCAAGGCAGCTTACATGATCTCTCTTCCTCCATCTTCTCCCCACAACAACAACCCTGTGGGGTAGGTTGAGCTGAGAGTCTGTGACTGGCCCAAGTCACCCAGTTGGCTCCATGGCTGAGCAGGGACCCGAACCCAGATCCTCTGAGTCCCAGCCCCACGCTCTTAACCACTACACCACACCAGTTCTCAAGCTTTGAGAAGATGTGCAGGAGGGTCTGAAACTATTGTGCAGGTTGCAGGCAGGGGGACCTCTCTATGCCTCCTGCTGACAGTTCCTCCCCCTCTACCAATGGAAGCCTTGGCAGAGACGCAGGGCTGGCTTCTCCTTGCCCTGGTGAACCTTGGGAGAGGAGGCATCATCTCCTCTATTTGCCTTTCTGATCCTATTGTTTGGGAAACTGAGGGGCATCAATAGGATTGTTCAGGTTATGATGTTTTGTTCCACTCTTCCGACCTCCACTGCGATGTTAAGAAAGATTAACAACTCACCATCTAAGAGGATTATTGCTTTTTCCCAGATAAAGCAGGGAATTAGTTTCCTGCAGGCACTAATGAAGCCATGTTTTGCCATAATCGTGTTAGTTTCCTCACTGTGGGAGAGGTGGCATGAAACACTGCACGGGAAGGGCACCAGCATCGCATGGTGTTGCGCATCATGCCGTTAATCACCTGGTAAATTACATGCTTGACTTTGCTCTGTACACCGTCATCAGGATTGTGAAATGTGTGGATGGGAACCAGGGCAGTGTGGTGCTTGGAGTGCAGGACTGGCGACGCAGGAGACCCGGTTTCTCATCCCCAGTCAGCCATGGGGGCCCACGGGGAGGCTTTGGCTAATCACTCACGCTTAGTCCTACCCATCTCGCAGGGTGTCTGTAGTGAGGGCAAAACGGAGTGGCCTTGGGCTTGCCTCAAGAGGAAAAGAGTGGGGTAATTACTATGATTACGAATAATCATAGTAACAATTCGTAAAGATGTAAGAAGAGCGGTGTTGTATCAGCCCAAAGGCCTATCCAGTCCAGCCTTTCTTCCTGGAGTCGCTCTCCAAGGTGTCCCTGGGAAGTCCCTAAACAGGGCATGGGACAATTTGCCTCCCCTGTGGTTGTTCCCCAGCTGTTGGTATGAGAAGCTGGACAGCTATTGTCCTTCTTAAGAGGACTGCCCACCTAAAAGGTAAGGCCTCTACCACTTTTCAGGGAAGCATCTACCTACCCCACCCGAAGCCCCAGTGCCAACCCATTTGGAAGGCTGGAACAGGAAAAGGCAAGACTCTGAGGAAAATTAGCAGGGGCTGGATGCTCTTGAGCGTTGTAAGACATAGACTTTTGGACTAGCTCTCCATATGAAAGGCTACTTGCCAATGGATGCTTGCCATTCTGTCTTCATGGCAGCTCAAAGAAAAGAGAGGCATCGTAGAGAGAGCTCTCACAAATTACAGTCTCCTGGGATAGATTCCTCCCATTTTGGGAAGAGAGCAGATGACTTGCTGTTTCAACGTTACCATGTGCAGATCTCCAGACAGAGTGTGTGCAGCACCCCAGCTTGAAAAAAGGGGGACACTCAGAACCGGGGTAGGGCAGGACATAGAGGGGATCCTGTGGAAAGATGGCAGACAAGCAAGTAGACCAGTAAAGAAGCATCTGATGTTCCCTCTGTCTGGCCCTTCAGTGGCAGGGGTACCCTCTGGTGGAGTCAGAAAGGGAAAGTAAGGCCGTGTGGGGAATCCCTCTGGGGGTGAGAATTCCTCCAATTCCCTGGGCTCGGCTGTCTGGAGGCTGGCCCACTTCACAGCAGCCCTGCGCCTGGGTTCCGGGCAAGCACGCCCAGCATCCACGGGGCACTCACCGGGTCTAAGGCCCATGCACTGCGCAAGCAGCACCCAGCATGCCGGCAGGGAACGGCACCTGTAATGCCCACACTGCGCCCTTCCTCCATGCCTGGCGCTGCTGCTCCCCGCTGCCACTGGGTGCAGAAGTTTGGTTGCCGGGGGTGGAGCTTGCAGGCTTGCTCGC